TGCTCAGTGGCTAGATAGCAATCTGTGCAGGTTGATCAAGATGTCACTAATTAGTTTTTGCCAACAGATGGTTAACCATTTTGCCATTTTTTTTTTTTTGCAGAAAGTGGACCATGTTTAACTTTAAAAGATGATCTCTATTTTACCTAGACAAATTGCATCACCAATGTCTTGCCACACATTCACAAAAATTAGCAGTGCCGATTGACAAATGGACAGACCTGAATGGTACTAACCGAAGCACAACAATCCCTAAAGGAAAACAAACAACGAAATGACTTCAAGAAAAATCTGTATCATTTATTCAATGAAGCACCCTAAGTTGGAAAAGAGTAAAATTTAAATTGAAAAACAATAATCTAACAGAGACAAATTTAAAAACAAAAAACCATTAGAATCTTTACAGAAATCAATAAAAATGGCTGCAAGTTAAAAGTCTTAAAATTTGATATATGGCTATAAATTTTCCTAATGTTTATAATATCAATTAAGAATACACCAAAACTTAATACACCGTTGTAACATTTTGCAACTGCCTCACCTATCTGAAATGAAATGATAGGCTATAATGAAATAAAAGCCCACCAAGTGCAAATAGAAATAAACCATATAGCTGGGTCTTGTACATGGTTAGATCCTTGGTCTCCAGGAATTATGCTAAAAGGAAGACTAATCAAATGATTACGCTTAGAACTATAACGTTATTTCAATTTTTAAAAACTATTAACTGATTGAAAAACCACACCATAAAGAACCAGTGGAGATCAGAATAACAATAAAATACTACAGAGGTAAATGAACAGCCATTAATATAATTTTTTTCCTCAGCATGCCAACAACAATCAGAAAAAGAAAAGGAGAAAAATCTATGGGATAAATGTAAAGTCTATTTGAAAAGTTCAATATATTTGTTTGTCAAACTCAGTGATCAAACTTCACACTCATGCTTTTCAAAAAGAAAAGAAAACGAAGAAGTGAAATCATTGACAATTCCAAGAAATATAGCAGCTATTATTAAGATCCAAAACGAATTCTGGAAAGTATGGGGACCAAAGACTATTAGAAGTTGGAAAGATATGCCGATGCAGTGGTTTGAGAACATAGTTTGAGAAACTTTGGGTAGGAAATATGCTCGCAAGGAAAACCGACAATGGGTGAGTATGACTCTCAAAGCTGGTTTATGTTTAAATTACTGAATCACCATAATCGTTGTTGGTTGGTTTTCACTCATGGTCTACTTTTTATTCAAGTTCTTGTAAAGAAAATTAGTCTTTTAACCAAATGCATGCCAATTACAATTTTTCCTTTTTGGTAAATAATACCAACCACATTTTATCATTACTAGATTCATAGTGCTTTGATTAACTTTATGGGGAGTAGAATCTCAATTCAAGCTAAGTAAAGCAAAACCCTCAATTAAACCCCAACTACAAACCCGAATTAAACCTTCAATTAAACTCTTAATAAAACCCAAATTAAATCAGCAATCAGGAAAGAGAAAAATACACCCATTCAAAGTATTGCATAACTGAAAAAAACTATATTTATGAGAAAGATTAAAACCTTTTTACAAAAGACACCTACTGAAAAAGCTCACATTTGTAAAGACTTGGAGCTCCTGACCTAACAGCACAACAAAATCCGGAAATAATTCACAGCAAAAGGGAAGAAATGATGACAATCTATGCTAACAGTAGAGAATCGAATTAAAAATTGAACTTAGCTAAAAAACACTTACCCTTCAACGTTCGGAGCCTTAGAAAAATTTATGAAGTTCACGCAAATATTTTTACGTCTCTATGCACCTATCCTGCAAACCAACGAAAATAGAAATGCAGAGAAGTGGGAAGACCAGATGAAATAAAACCCAAGCCACCACCAACTTAAATAGAAGAAATGTGGGGGAATCCAGCCGTCAAAGAAAAAAAATACAATCTCCAGAACAAATAGATAAAAACATAATAAACGAGCAAAAGCAGCTAATCAGCACAAAACTAGTAAACTGATTGGGAGGCCTAATCGGAAGATTAAGAGAAAAGATGAGCAATTCACTCAAGACGCACAATAGGGAACCCAACAGATGCAAAATACACAAAGAGCAATCTCGGGCACCCCAAAATAAAAGCAAAGCACTCCAAGAACCACATCTAAGCCAAGTAATGATTAACAAACACCAAATAAAACAACCCATAATCCAACAACCCACGAAATCAACGAGTCTAATATAAGCAAGCCAGATGCTAATTGTCACAAACCCCATTACCATAAACAGACGCCACCCGAAGTTCAAAGATCTAAACAACGTTGATTGAATAAAACCTGAGAACCCAAGAACACCCGTCTCTCTAAGCCAACCCCAACAACATACTAACACTCGAGGAGTTGCAGAATTATCAAAACCCTAGAAATTAACGTACCTCAATTAAACCCCCTAAATCTCGAGACACCCACTTCAATTATCACACTCAAGCACCAAACCCAATTATCAGCCCTACACTTTGTTCGGGCGAAGATTTCTCCGGAAAGAGCTCCTCGGCTCTTAGCACAACTCCCCAAGGGATTGGCACTTTGGATATATAGTCGGGCTCTTGCTTGCTGATGTGCTGCAAGAAGAGGATAAAGTTAGTTTTGAAAGGTGCCTTTGTAGGGCCTTAGGTGTATACATTGAGGCTCGCAATCAAAACTAATTGAGTGCTAGGCGTGCCACTGCTATCTCAGTATAACAGATGTATAATAAGTGTATTTAGTCGATTACTTTCGCCCCAAGTTACTCGGACTTCTTGTTATCAAAGGATTGTCGTGGATGGGTTAAGTCCACATTAAGTTCTTTTTCTTGCCTTGTGACCAAGGACTTTCAGTTCATAGTCTTGTATGTTCAAGTGAGGGGAGTCAATATCCCCTTAAGTCACCTACTCGATTCTTGATTGGTTTTAAATGAAGGCATATTCATTAAGGTGACCAAATCCGGGCACAAATGAGACTCTTAAAGTAGGAAAACAGATGGATATAACTTGAATACATATTAGAGAATACATTAAGCAGTAGATCTATTAACTTATAAGACAAACAAAGAGCTTTGAGCAAGATTTCACCTTGTCGGGCAAGGTTGAACTTCTTGCAATCACTTCTCTTTTGAGTTTACAAGGTTTATATGCTAAGAATGGATGGATGGTAAACAAGTTTACACGAGATAATCGATGCTACGCCACTAAGGGTGATAGCAGAGCTTCTAAACTAGACAAAAGATGGCTTTTGTGGGGGATGATCCTGAAAAGGATTGAGATCTGGGCTGATTACAGCTTATAGATGCAAATCTAGCTTGAGAGCAGAGTTTGTATGTTTGTTTGTTTGATTGGTTGAGTATCCTTGTCTCTGAGGCCTCTTCCTCCTTTTATAGGTAGATTAGCCCGACTGCAGTAGCTTTACTCTTGCTCGAAAGTTGTTGAAGGGTAGCGAGTCATCAGCTTTTTACTTGTATTGCCATCGAAAAGTGTTTTTTGGCTGATTGTGAGTTAGTCCCCATCATTTGACACTTAAATCATAGGCACATCGCCTATACATTAATCAGAATGCGCCAACTTGTCTATGGGCCTGATACTGAGCTTCAGGCAGGTATTCCTTTAATTGGTGTTTTTGGGCTTCCTTATACTTACAGCCTAAAGTTCAAATATTAACCCAAATAGTGCCCCCTTTAATCATTGTTAAGGTTGCAATCCCAGGAGCTAATAATGATTAAATAGTCGTCGCTCATTAAACAACCGTCGCACGCATCCACTCGGAACTTGTGCCTTTTTAAAGCAACCGTTGGTTTATCTGAAGCCCTTTGCACTACCCCACGAACTCCTCCGCTAAGTAATCACTTATTATATAATTCCTCCTTAATCTCATCAGCAAAGTATTTTAACCACTTCGAGCCTTCGAATTCTCAGAAACTCCAGTGCGCTCTTATCTTCGCAGCTCTTCAGTCATTCCCCCCTTAATTTCAAATTTTCTTCTATCTTCCTCTCAAAGTCCTAAGTGGCACCCATAGTTGCCCGAATTCAGTCTCTTCGCGAGATTGGTGAAGGGATTTCCACCATGCACCGTTCTTTTGATGACCTTCATTACCCTCGAGCGAGCCTGCATACTGAAATCTTCTTTGAGGAGGAAATAGTGCACTCTTTGGGGCCTGCATAGACTTCTCATTTATTGGCTTTTGCAACATCCTCAGAAAGGTGCACTACGTCCAGCTTTTGTTTCAAGACTCATATGGCTTTTGTGAATAGCCAGGTAGCCTTAATCACACCGGTAGATTCCTCTTATGAATATAAAGCAATATTTCCTTGCACTGGTATCCACAAGCCCAAACTTCCCCATAGCTTTTGGTTTCTTGATCACTTTATCATCATAGGTGTATGCTTCGGGGTCAATTACCATGACAATGTCAAGGACTTTGGTGAGACTTGTGGACGAAGGCTCTGTTATGGAAGCCAGGATTACATAAGTGTCTTCTTCAATTAAGAGTTTGGAGGAGCAACCATCTGTACGAAACAACTTTACAAGAAGAATTGAGGAAGCAAAGAAAGTAAATGTTGAAGTTGAAGATGCCGAAGTTCAGTTAGTCATTCTAGGATAGCTACCTTAGCCAATGATGTAAAACTATTGTTGATCCTTATGTAACTTCAACATGAAATAAAAAAAGACTTTCTTAATCCATCTTAGCTTGCATTTCTTCTTTTAAAACTTAACTACGATGGGCAAATAAGCTGACTTTAAACCACTTGTAATGTTTATACTTCTTCAATATAGCAACTCCTAACATCCCACAAGGTTGGGTGATATTTCTTCAAAAACTTGGCATTAACTGGATGCTTATGCGAACTTCCTTCCAAATCTGCCAAGTAATATCCCCTTTTGTCTAGTATTTGGTTAATAATGAAAGGACCCTCCCAAGTCGGACTCCACTTCCCAAAGCCTCTAACTTGAGCTTCTAAAGGCCGAATTGCCTTCCATACTAACTCTTATTTCTTGAAGTTTTTCAATTTCACCTTTTTATTGTATGCTTGGGCAACAGCTCTCTTCCCTTCTTGAATTTTACCTAGGGCTTCAATTCGGGCTACATCTAGATCTTCTATTCCTTGACACATAGCCTGAATATATTCTTCATTATGCAACCTAAATTGATTTTGAATCCTAACAGAACCCACATTTATCTCCATGGGGAGCACATCATCCTGCCTGAAGGTCAAAGCATAAGGAGTAGTTCCAGTGCCCTCTTGGAGGTTCTGTAAGCCCATAAAGTATCTCCCAACTTCTCATGCCATTTTTCTAGACTATCTGCCACCATCATTTTGATAATGTTCACCAAGACTTTGTTACTGGCTTCTGTTTGACCATTTGACTGGGGTAGTAAGGACTAGATTGGATCATCTTAATCTTGAACTTACTTGCAAATTCTTCTACTTCCTTTGAAATAAAAGACGGTCCGCATTCTATAACAATTGTCTTGGGTACCCCATATCTGTGTAAGATCTTGGTTTCAATGAAGTTCTTGACGGCGGTTGCAGTTAAGGTCTTCACTGTTGAAGCTTCTACCCATTTGGTGAAGTAGTCTATTGCCACAATTATGAACGTGTGCTCTTTGCTAGAAGTTGGATGAATTTGCCCGATGAACTCCATTGCCCATCTTCTGAAGGGCCAAGGCTTGACCATGGGGTTTAAGGGTATTGAAGGCACATGTTAGAGAGGTCCATGTCTTTGGCATTCTTCGCACCCTCAGGCATAAACTTTGCAATCTTTCTCCATCTCTGGCCAGAAATAGCCATATTCCTAAGTAGCCACCTCATATTGGTTCCCGCCTGATGTGCTTCATAGATCCCTTCATGTACTTTGGCCATTACCCTCATTGATTCTTCCTAGCCTAAGCATTTCAACATTAGTCCATCTGGAGTCTTTCTTAGTATATTTCCCCCCACAAAATGTACTTAGTTGCTTGTTGTCTATTCTTCTTACTTGTGCAGAATGATGGATCTTTTAAATACTGAATAATAGGTGTTCTCCAATCTCTAACCTCCACCTCTTCAATCATTACATCTAGGTTGAATCCCCTTTCAAAGATAAAAGGGAGATTTCTTTTCTGAACCTCTATGTCCCCTTTATACTTTCTTTCTTGGATCAACGCTCCAGAAGCCAATTGTGCCATCTCATTAGCAACTGCATTCGATCTTCTCGGGATATGGTTGACTGATATCTCAGTGCCCCAATAGCTTAATAGTTATGTAGATGCCAAATAGTAACTTGCCATGATAATGTGTCTGCACTTGTACTCTTCATTTAGTTGATTGATCACCAACTCTGAATCACCAAATACTTCAACTTCAGTTGCCCCTAACTCTATCAAGATCTCCAGACCAATTATCAATGCCTCGTATTCTGCCCAGTTGTTAGTAGTCTCTTGATAGTCTAGGAGGAATGAATAAAAATGGTAAGCACCCTTAGGATCAATGATAACAATCCCGGCTCCTGCGACAGTTTGGGTGCAAGAACCATCAAAATACAGTTTCCAATGAGTGATCTAGAGACTAGCTATTCTTTTTATCTCTTGCCGGATCCATTTTTCTTTGCCCTAGAAGGTTTTGCTTGATAGGATCCACACACTGGCTACCTCAAGAGTTCCCAAGATATTGATAATCTCATCTTGGGATTCTTGGTGCTCAACCAAGAAGTTTGCAATTGCTTGCCCCTTGATCGCTCTATGAGGCACATACTGAAAGCTAAACTCTGAAAACACTAGAATCCATTTTCCAATCCTCCCAGCTATCATTGGTTTTGACAGCATATATTTGATTACGTCAGTCCTAGCAATAATGTGGATGTGGCAAGGTAACATGTAATGCCTTAGCTTGCATGCCGTGAAGTATAGAGCCAGGCACAACTTCTCCACTGGTGTATATCTTGTCTCTACTTCAGTAAGGATTCCACTGAGGTAGTAGATTGCTTGTTCTTTTTTGCCTTCATTTTTCTAAGCCAACAAGCTTCCCATTGATTTCTCAGAAGCAGAAATATAAAGCTTTAAAAGTTTCCTCCTCTGAGGTGGCATGATCACTGATGGAGAGGCCAAGTAAGCCTTTATACTGTCGAAAGCCTCTTGATGTGGTGGGCCCTACTCAAATTCTTCTTTGTTTTTCAATTTTAGCAAAGGAGTTAGCGGCTGAATCTTGCCCACCAACTTAGCGATGAATCTCCTTAAGAAGTTGATTTTTCCTAGTAGCCTCTGTAATTGTACTTTATTGGTGGGAGGAGGTGATTCTATGATTGCCCGAGCTTTTTCTTGTCAACCTCCACACCTCTTTGATGAACAAGGAATCCCAAGAAGTTGCAAGACCTTACTCTAAAAGCACATTTCTTTGGATTCATTTTTAGCTTATGGATTCAGTCTTAGACTTTACCATGATGTTAGCAATGTACACTTCCATGGTATGGCTAATCAAGTCATGAAAAATGGCATTCATTGCTCTTTGATAGGTCGCTTCAGCATTTTTTAGCCCAAATGGCATCACTACATATTCATATGCTCCAACATGATCTGGGCATCTGAAAGCTATTTTGTGTATATCTTCTTTAGTCATTTTTATCTAATTATAACCGGCATTTCCTTTCATGAAAGATAAGACTTTGTGTTTGGCAACTGCATTTATGAATAAGTCAGCCATAGGCATTGGATATTCATCTTTAGGCGTGGCTCCATTAATGTTCCTATAGTCAACACAACATCGAATCGCCTTAGTTATAGCTTTTAATACAAGTACAATGTTGGCCAATCACTCGACATATTTGGCAGGCCTAATAAATCCAGCCTTTACTAGCCTTTCAATCTCTTCCTTGACCTTTTCCTCGATCTTCTTTGACATTCTCCGTGGTGCTTGCTTGACAGGTTTATACCCCTCCTTAATAGGCATTCTATGTTCTACTAAGGTTGAATCTAAACCTGGCATTTCAATGTAATGCCAAGCAAAACAGTCTTTGAACTCATGCAGAAAGCTAACTACATTTGCCCGATCCTCCGTTTCTAATAAGCCACTGATCTGGATAGGCCTTGGATCTTCCTTAGTTCCCAAATCAATGGTCTCCAATGGGTCTTTTACTTCTGATTATGGCTTGTTAGGCTCTGCGCACAAGAATTCAACTAACTTTGGACTCTCGGGCAAGTCTTCTGGCCCGTCCAGGTCATATATACATTCAGCTATTTGTATGGCCGCTTCCAACTCCTTTCCAAAAAACTCTTATCCGCTCTGGCTGCTTGAGGCTTCCTCCTGGTGCTTCTTGGCCAAGCTCTCCCTTTCTTGCTTTCTCTCTCTTCCATACACCAACAGTCTTTTGATTAAGAACCTGACTGCAACTACTTGATCCTTTTTTCTTTGTTTTAACATTACTGGTGTTGGGGAGTTGGGACAATATAAGGTCGGTCCCATTCTTCCCTTGTAAGGAACAACCCCTGTTCCAAAAGCTTTTGGGCTGTCACTTTAGTCGGGCGGCCGTTCTTATCAGCTCCTAAGCACTGGAGAATCCCAATGCTAGGATTGTAAAAATTGGCTTCTGCCACATTGGCAGTGGGAAGGAATGGCTGTGACTCGGCCTCCACCATTTCCCAAAATCCAGGTCTCATATCTCATTCTTCGTGGTAAACTGCCACTTGTTGATGCATGGTGAATGGCACTGAGAAACTTTGATAAATCCAATCTCGACCCAATAAAGCTCCATATGTGGAAGTACTATCCACAACGAAGAAAGCTAACATGATCTGCTTGAAACCTAAGTCAACCTCAAAAGGCAATATCTCATGAGTTTTGGTGATGGCTCTAGAGAAACTGGAAACAGTTAAGTCCATAGGGATGAGATCTTCCTTACTTCTACATGCCCTCTTCATCTGCTTGAAAAGCAACACATTGACTGTGACTCCTCCATCAATCAAAACCCTTTTGAAGGGCACTCCCTCCAGATAAGCAGTTACATAAATGGGCTTGAGATGGTTGGCCAATCTCCAAGGTTTATGAGGCAGCGGGGACTTTTAACGAGTTCATGTGGGTTTTATATTGCCTCTAGACTCTCCTAATCATAGAGGCTCCCATTTCTTTAACAGGCTTCTTATCATTTCCGACCACATATCATTTTCGCCCAAGTTGGGCAGGTTTCTTCATTGTGACTGGATTCAACATTCTCCCCTTAACTCTGACATCTCCACCAGCATAGCTTGGTTGGGGTGGCCTCACATCCACCCATCTTGGCACATTGACCTCTTTGTCCTTCACCTCTTCAGAAGCTTAGTAATTTCTGAACACTTTAGAAAAATCCTTTGGTTAGGAGTCTCATCCTAACCTTTGGAAAACATTTCTAGAAGTCTCTTTCTCAGCTGACTGCATGACATTTCTACGGGCTTCCTGCTTTTCTTTCTCTTTTCTCTTGATCAGCTCCTGATCAATAATGGCTCCTGACGCTGAGACTTCCAGCTCACACTCACATTGGCATCTACTGCACAATACCACTCCTTTGATTATGGTCGCTTTGGGTTTCTCGGGCACCTTTATGGCTCATTCAGTTGGCCTATCAGCTTGCCTCCGTTCTGCTTTCACATCCCAGGTAGCTTTTCTTTTCCCATTCTCAGCCCATGTAAGGTTGATCATGTTTATTGGGACATCTAGGAAGGGGTTAGTGTCAATCATTATGTTGGCCTACCGTTTATCCAATAACAACTTTCCCTTTGCTATAAGGTCTTGTATCCAATCCCTGAACTGGACACATTTGGTTATGGAGTGATTGAAAGTGTAATGCAACTTGCAATACTTTTTCTCTCTCAGCTCTTCAGGCTTGGGCAGCTTTTTGGCCCTGTCGGGCACGATCACCCTTGCTCCAACCAACTCCTCATAGTTGGTTAAGTCAAAGGAATAACTCTGGTACTTGGGGGATTCATAGGGACAAATCCACCATCGTTTATGACTACTTTCTGGTCCTTCACTAGCTCGACTAACCCTTTTACAGTCAAAGGTTTGAAGGAGGCAGTCATCTCCGTCGCGCACACATCCATTCTCTCTCCTTCATGGCCATTATTTTCTTCTGGTTCTCCTTCAAACTCCACTTGGTGAATAATAGCTTTGCTTTTATAGAAATAAGGCACATTAGACAAATGATTTACTTATTGTTCCTCCACCAACAACTTCTCATACTTGGTGACCACAATTACCAACTTCTGCAGCTCATTGAACTGCATGTCATAAAACTTCTTCCTTAAAGGTAATCTCAACGCCTTCTGAGCGATGGATATGAGTTGTGCATGATTTATATGGAATTGGCACCTCATCCTCGTCCTTTTGAACCTCATCATGAAGTTTTTTGTAGACTCATGCTCGTACTGCTTCACCTCCACAAGGTCATTGATAGACATTTCGGGCTCGACCCTATAAAACTGCTCATGGAAGGCCATCTCCATTTTCCCCAATTGGCGATAGAATTATGGGGCAACAAAGAATACTACTGAGATGCTAAACCCATCAAGGAGTTCCCAAACAATCTCAGCTTGTAGTTGGGATTGTCTTCGAATGCTACACAGTGATTAGAGAACTTGAAAATGCGATCTCTGGAAAACACATTACCATCTTCTCCGCTCAATGTTGGGAATACAGGTATCTTGAAGTTGACTGGAAAAAGGGTTATGCTCGTCAACGTACAGGATAGGGCTTCTGATAAGTGATCCTAAACAGCGGGTGAGTTTGTGGTTGAGCATTCCGGGCCACCATCCTCCTTAACTCGGCTAACTCATCTCTGAGATGTTGGTGAGCTGTATTATCAGGAAGAGTATGAGGGGGTTCCCATTTTGGGCTATGATCATTTCCCGAGAAAAGCTCTTTTCTTGGATCGGGCTTCCCCCTCCCTTACTGGCCAATGATGGGGGCCTATAAGGAAGAGGTTTATCTGGTTTAGTAGGCCCGCATTTTCCACTGGATTCCCCGATCAACTGGGGCATCCCATACTTCGTTCTTTCTTGACCGCCCTGCCCCCTATTATTAAGTGGAAATAGTGAGGGGTCTGGCAACTCTGCTTCTAAAATTTCTTCCAACATTGGCCCACTGGTGCCATATTCTTCCTTGTTTTTATCCTTACCATTCTTATCCTCGAGTAAAGGAAAGAATGGAATAACTGGTTCTTATTCGGGGCTTGCTCTCCTCACATAACCATTTTTTGGAGTAGAATACTTTAGATCTAGTTGTCTCTGCAAACTCCCTATTAAAGAACAAAGTATGCTGACTTCTCCCCTGGTTTCTAGGGAAATATTCTCCATACCCCTTAACATTTACACCATGGTGGCTTGCAAGTCTTCATTGGTTACCATTCCCCCCGACATCTCAGATGAGGTCAGGTTTCCCAAAACAGCTGGTCCTTGTAAGGAGGAAACGTTCTCTGTGCGGTCTGCCATGTTTGATTTTGGTAAAGACTGGGGTAGCCTGTACTCTGTGTTCCACTTGAAGGTTTTCTCCTTCCTTATTCTTCTTGGCATACAATACTAATGTGATCCTACCAGGCATGCCAAAACTATGTTCGGGCGAAGATTTCTCCAGAGAGGGCTCATCGGCTCTCAACACAACTCCCTAAGAGATTGACACTTTGGATGTATAGTCGGGCTTTTGCTTGCTGATGTGCTGCAAGAAGATGATAGAGTTAGTTTTGAAATGTGCCTTTGTAGGGCCTTAGGTGTAGGCCTTGAGGCTCGCAATCAAAACTAACTGAGTGCTAGGCGTGCCACTACTATCTCAGTATAGCATATGTAGAATA